TCAAAAATTACGACAGATTACGAGATACAAAAGATTATGTATGACACGAAGCTTAAAAGCGGGACGTATGGCCAAGTTAAATAAAATAATGTCATTATCATGCAAAACATCCTATCTACAATTCCATACCTGAGAAGCATTACATTGTAAGCGCCATTTTTGTAATTTTAGGGGGGAAGCGATTTTGTGTCGAAAAGCAGTTTGTACGACAATTAGGGTAGGTGGAAAGGTTATTAAAACTCAATTAGTTTTATTTCAAGCCACTCTAAATGTTGTACATGCTGTATTTCGACACAAAATCGCGTCCTCTGTAAAATTACAAAAATAGCACTTACAGTGACTGAGTAACTATCTCCGTGGCCGAACGGTTACCATGCTGATCTGCCATGAAGAGGTCCCGAGTTCGAGTCCCGGGCGGGGAGAAATATTTGTAGGCCCTACATTTATTTCGCTCGTGAGTTTGAATGTGATTTATGGTGTTCTATGTGTGACACGGGGTTTCCCTAGTGCGGGATTATGAGTGTGTGTATTAATTAATACTTCCCTCCGTGTCCCACAGCCATGATACGCCGTATATTTTTTCCAAGACGATGTAAAATGACATTTGTAGGGTTGCCATTTATCGTACAATTTTAAATAGTTATGCCAGTTATGCAGTTGATGTCGACAGTTTTATCGATAGATTGTGAAATTCGATTAAAATTTGCAGAAACGCATAAATCATGAATGTTATCAATCACGTTTCGATGAATAATAATTATATTATCGCCATTGCCCCCTTAGCCTATTATATAGATATCTACGACGTCAATCTCGACGTCTATTTAATTATAACCTTTTTTTTTAAATTCAAATGAGCCGAGTTCGGCCATTTATTACGTAATCAAAGCCAATATTCAGTCGATAATCGATAATCGACTGCAATCAGTTGATGCTTAAGATGTAATTTTACTCCGTTTTGGAAACATTTGAAAATGAAAGTCCGTTTGTTTGTATTAATTGACCCTTGTCTCTTGTGGGGCACATAATGATTACTTGATGTAGTGATGAAAAATTATCACAATATGAAATTTCTATCATATCAAATAAAAGTATAGATAACTAGTTGGTGCCCGCGACTTGGTCTACGTAGAATAAATACTTCCAGTAGCTCACTGTACAATATTAATTTTCATAGTTTTATTGGTTCTCCATATAAACTTTCATTCTCTATTTCACACTCTTTTAGATTTGTCATTGTTGTGACAAAAAGTAGCCTTTATTGATATAACAAATGAATGCGACACTGGGGAGCGCACCGCGAGTCTCTACGATAAGACGTCGTGCCGTGCGTCGTTCCACGTTACGATGTCGCATCGTGAAACGTTGCGGCGTCGTAGCACGACGCGACGTCGTATCGTGTTTATGTGTAAACCCTCATCTAAGGGGAAATCCGTGCCCAGCAGTGAAACGTGACCAGGGTTGATAATGATGATGACATTATTCTAGAACATTTAAATAATAAAAATTGCAACCGAAGTTAGGTAGATAAAATATGATGATACTCATTACTTGAATTCAAAATAAATACGTAATACTGTACGTACACTCGTGTACTTTTTATTGTAGTCGAACAGTCATTTGTTTCACATTCTCGTGTTAATAACCATGAAGGCGAAAAGCATAAAACCATCCAGTATCAGAAACTCCATGTTAAATATTCTTTATAGCACATAAGAACAAGCAGCTGAAAAACTAAAGGTACGACAGGCGGCCTTATTGCTAGACAGTAAATCCTTACAAACAACTTTGACGTGTCAGAATAAACATAAAAATTACATTATTACGTGAAAACGTAGTAATGTGTTTTTTTTACTGAGACAGCAAGGGGAAATCCAAAAGTAACATACAAGGAAACCGTTTTAGAAATCATTAGGTCTTTTTTTGGCATAGTAACTTTTTTTGGGCATGCATGATTTAATACATGCATTCTCAGTAGAGCTCCATATGAAAGAGTTTGTCCAGGGAAGTACTACCGCCTTACTTATTCCTGCCACCAAGCAGTAATGTGAGCATTACAGCGGTCCGGTTTTGATGGATAATGGTACTTGTCAACTTATGTCTACTACAGGGTGCAGTGGCAGTGCCCATCAGATCTTTGCGATTTAATGCTCTGAGTGGCACTGCAACTATTATGGACAGACGTGTCGCTTACCATCAGGCGCACGACTTATTCGTCCCGTCACTTGATGTTATAAAAAAAATAATATTATGAAATTTTTTTGTTAATAGTATGAAAAATATTTTTTTTAAATTTGACCAACATCTGCTGTCCCGATTTTTTCATGCGATAATATAGTCCACTTTAATAGGGACGAGTTCTGTGACACTTCTAATTTTTACATTACACGCATTGACTTACAATTATATGGACGTCGGGTCCGCGCTAAAAAGTGTCCGCACTTGTAAGGCGCTAAAATCGTATACAGAGCGCGACACTCCGCTTTAGTCTTCATTTGTTCTACGGACAGCGCGATACTGCGATGACATTACAATTTAAATTTCGAATAAGTTGACTTGGGACATTTTTTTCGTGGTTTTTTGTATTAGACCCGTCGTCCATTTATTTGTAAGTCAATGGATAATATAGTCCATTTTAATAGGGATGAGTTCTGTGACACTTCTAATTTTTACGTTACACGCATACGATTTATAACTAGTCTGTCAACCCGGTTACAAAAATAAATTGTAAATTTGTTAAAATGTACCAAAATCAAACAATATTTATTGTAGACGTAATTTTAAGTAAAAATTGTGGTATATTATTTATCCGTAGAGATTTACACCACAGAATCGATAAATCGAATCGGCTTTTGTATAACTCGCGTCATACATACTCGCGGCATTTACATACATTGTTAGCGGGTTTTATTTTGTTTTTAGCTTTGCGTGATCTTTTTGGAGTAATTGTTCGAAATTCCGTTTCGTTGCTGCTGATTTTATGCTTTATCGTTGACTCTTTGTTTGGTTGTGTAGTTTTTAGGGATTGACATAACATAAATTACCTTACTTACTTAATGTGTAAAAT